TATATATATATATATTTGTATATATATATATATATATATATATATATATATATATATATATATATATATATATATATATATATATATATATATATATATATATATATACAAATTATAAGTAAATACAAATGGTCATATGTCAAAAGTGTATCTAGAATATAATTAAATTTTGTTAGTTTTTTAGTTGAAATAGACAAATCTATTTGTAATATAACTAAAGTTAATTTTACACAGGAGTTTATCTAATTTTTATTTAATAGCTAATTACTAATTAAAAGCATAGCTTATTAAAAAATCTTACTTTTCACTTAAATTTTTTTTCTTTAACTTAATGACGCTTTCTGTTTTCCTTCAAGTCAGCTGATCTAATTTGAAGTGAACCGGTATAAAAAGTAAATTTCTTTGGAATCTTTCGCACATGCAACTAAAGTGGGCTTTATTGTTACATTCTGACAAACAGTTTTTTTCTTGACAATTAATAATTTGGCAATTACAGTTCAGTATATCAAATACTTTGTTGATCTTAGTCACAATTCTATATTTATTCTTTATTCTTGTTTTTCTCTTAGCAACCAAGTTGGCTGCATTCCAATCATCTACCAATCTAGCAGTAATATAATGTTTAATGTGTGTTACAGGAAACGCAAATAAAACATTGGTGTGAATCCATTTACCAATCAACCTTGAGTAAACATTGTTCATTAAGTATTTTATCAAATATTTTTTTTGTTTTTGTTTTTATTGTTTCTTTCTTGTAAAAACAGGCAGAATCTTAGAAGATTTTTTTTGTTTTTTTTTGTTGGCAACTCTGATACAAGAATATTTGTTCCAAAACCTATATATTCTCAAAGCTTTAAACCGCTCTTTTTTCTAGTTCTAGATGATATTGGCTCTGCCATGATTAAATAGTAAACTTCATAATTTGCAAACCTTTTATGTAAATGTTGTTTTTAAATTAATATTTTTGGACATATAAAGATAACATTTATGTATATATATATATATATATATATATATATATATATATATATATATATATATATATATATATATATATATATATATATATATATATATATATATATATATATATATATGTATATATATGTATATATATATATATATATATATATATATATATATATATATATATATATATATATATATATATATATATATCCTTATAGTGTAGTCAAAAGAGACTTTTATGGTAAAAAAAGTTTCTTTCGACTACAATTTTTTTACCTTGTCTCTTAAGCTGCATTTTATTGTCGTCTAAATGTCAAAGCAATCAAATTAATGTGGAAGTACATTAAATTTTATTGTTTTTTAAAAAAACCGCGATAATAATGACTAGAAGGTTTTTTTTAATTAGTGGTGTTTTTCTTTTTGTTTTATTAAAAAACATTTTTAAAACATGCGTTAGTGTTGCTACATCAACTATCTTATAGCCTGCTGCTACAAGGGAGTGTTGCTACATCGACTATCTTATAGCCTGACTCGCAACAGAGTGCTGCTACATTGACTGACAAATAGCCTGACTCGCAAGGGAGTGCTGCTACATCGACTGAGGGTTTGGTTTGGGCAGGCAGTCTATCATTTAAATTATTCAAAAAATTATTCAAAAAATTAAAAATTTTTTCGAAGTTTTTTAACATTATCTGGTCAGGCTTATTAACGCGCTCTTTAAAACAACAGTTTATGGGAAAAACTTTGTGTCTACCATGCAAGACTATATATATACATATATATATATATATATATATATATATATATATTATATATATATATATATATATATATATATATATATATATATATATATATATATATATATAAATATACACATATATATATATATATGTGTGTATATATATACATACATATATATATATATATATATGTGTGTGTATATATGTATATATATATATATATACATATATACACATATATATATATATATGTGTATATGTATATATATATATATATATATATACATATATATATATATATATATATATAGACATATGTATATATCAATCAATATATATATATATTTTTTTTTCGATAATTTTATATCATTTATAAATAGTTAAAAACTAATTTATAAATAGTTAAAAACTAATCTTAAGTAAATACCATGAAATAGGATTGATATTAATATTGAATATTATTGATAATAACAATGATGATAAACTAAAAGTTATAAGAATAATAAGAAAATTATATGGTAATAAACCAATATCAATTTTAAAACAACAATTGAATTTAATGCAAGTTACAGTTATGTACTGACAAAACGAAACAACCTACCATGTAACTAAAACAATTACTGCAAAAAAATGTAACAATAATTTAATAGATATAGTTATCTTAACATCAAGAATCATAATAAAAACAATAAAAGTAAAATAAATACTTTATTAAAAAATAACAATAAATAAACAAAACAAAAACTATTCAATAGTACTCACAAATAAAAACGTATCTCACACAAACA